CTGAGTACTCTTATATACATGATATGCTTGGCCATAAGGACCATGACTGTGAGCTGAGGCAAAGATGAATGTGTCTTGTAAAGTGTCACTTTGGAGACTAGCTTGGTGGTTTCTCCTACAAGATAATCGCCACATGCCAGACATTCTAATCTCCAACAAGCAATGAAAATTTCAAGACAGATCGATCATGGGAGAATATTTCTGCAATTGCTTCTCCGGAAGGTTATGGTACAGTGAAGCCAGGCAAGCTAAGCAAGATGATCATGCATTCACATATGCTTCACCAGTTAGGAAGTGGGACCTGTGTTCCTGATGCAGTTACTTACAAAATATTTTCACAGCTCAAATTTTAATCAAGAAAATTGTGGTGGACACCCCTCACACATGCTGATTTCAATAATTTGTTTGTGCATTGTAAAATTGTAAATCATTAGATAAGGATCATGTTTGATAGAAATAACAGCTTCACTCACCCATGGTAGATAAGCAGCCGTGAAAGTGAAAAGACCCAAGAAACTCATGTGAATAAAAGGATTATGTTTGCTCCATACATAGACCTGCAGATGTGTACATAATGGAGTATTTAATGTCAGCAAAGAAACAGAGAAAACATTTTTAAAAAATCAAATAGCTAACTAACGTTATAAATACAACCAAAAACTAATTACTAATTACTGACCATCATGAATGTCAACGAATTACTCAGGAACACAATATTTGCAAAGGTCTCAGAAAAATATGGTATCATCCCTCCAATGAGAACAATCCCAGTTAAAACAGTTGCACCAAATAAAAGCATGAAGAAGAAATCTGCTGTCCTGCCCCTAAAGGAGTTCTCCTCAAGCAACTTGCAGTACCGAGCAAGAAAAAACATGTGGAATAGGAAGTCCAAATCTAGCAATATCAACAAGTAATACCAATAAGATAAAAAGTTCTTCTTGGAAAAGATAATATTCAGTTACAAAGGATTAATTTAACGGCCAAACAAACTTCAAGGACCAGTAACAAACAGAACTGAACTATTGACTTCAAGCCAAAAGCCCTTGCTTCGATTCATATTTAAAATAAATACATGAAAAAGGATACAAGGATAACACAAAAAATTGTTGTGTTCAAAAATTTATTTCTCAAGACTATCATATATGATATGAGATCAGTTTACCATGAAAACATAAGCTTCAAAAATTGGAAGTTACATTGAGAACTAGCAAAATGGCTTTAAGAACTAGTTTAAGAAAGATATGTTTTTTATTCTAATTGAGAAATAAACCTACACATGAAAGTATGGATTCTGAAGAACCAGTATCTCCTTAAGATGATTTTCATAAAGTCATGGTCTAAAATTTTATTTGTACCAGTCTATACGAATGGGTATTTCACAAGTCTGAGCATGGCCAACAGCCAATTCATTAGAAACTATGTAGTAGGGTTACAGACACTGGGCAACGGATTTTATTGGCTAGTTTGCTAATTGCACCAAACATAATAATCAGATATAAACCAGTACATCAAGCGAACCAGGCAATAAGTATATCACCCAGTACCCGAATCTATACTGCTCCTCTTTCACCAAATCTCACCCACCTGCAGCCCCTACGTTTTTCAAATTCTTCACTCAAACCTATGCAATCTCACACTCCTTGAGCAAGTTCTCTTCAGTATTTTCAAGATCTCATTCAAATTTCAATCAATTTTCTCAAGAAAGCATCACTCCTACCTCCAAACCAAGGTAAATCTTGCCTATTTTTCTAGCATTTCTTATTTTTATTTTCAAAGACTTGATTCATGCTTATGATTTCACACTTAGATATATGCATATATTTCTAGATCTACACATCATTTGAGTTCAATTACTTGATTTATTGTCCAACTAAGACTGGGTAAATATCCATCTGATATGGAACTACTTGGATTCAAGCCAGGCCTACAAACCATGGTAGAATTTTATGTGGATCCAACCTAGTTCTAGGCTAAGCTTTGTACCTTGAATTTGCAAGGATCAACCTAAATATGCATAGATATATCCTAGATCTGCCAGAATCAAGACTATAATTGTAATATTATGTCAAAGGATGCTGTTAACGAGACATATACGTGGCCTAGTTTTGTGTCATCATGATCCCATCAATACTACCATAAGAGATCCTACAACATCAAAATATGCAGGAAGCAAATGTCATTTGCATCCTTTAGATGTGAGTGCAAGGTATGACGATTATAAGACTACGTCCAAAGTATCTAGTACTTAAACATTCTATAACCATACACCAAATAGTTTCACATTAATGTTGGGACCAAGTAAAATAAGTGAAACCCTTTATTTATATCTCTAGAAAGAACCAAGTGAAACAACATTATGATTGGCTGTTAAAGAAAAATCTTATTTAACATCAGGATACCATTACCATAATAAAAGCACCTATTCAGCCTTCTTGCTATTCCTGATAGCCATAGGTCAAAATAGTTCATGATCATTAAAAGACATTAAAGAGACTTGTGCAATTTCAGATTTGATTAAAGAAAATAATAAATGCTTCCTTCTATCCTGTGCACCAATTTCCTTCTATAAACCATTCAATTCTATTTATTTTACCTTTACCATTATTATTTATCTCTTCTCTGCAAAATCCTCTCTTTTTTGTGTGTCATAATGCTGATATAAGCATTCTTACCACTAATGCAATGAAAACAACTTGATTTAAGTCCTTTCTCTTTCAATTAGTTTAGTACCAGCCCATGATCGTCATGGCACTTCAGCTATGACAGTGGCTGATAGATACTACAGATTGGGCAATAGGTGTAATGTATAACCACATCCATGATCATGCCATCCACCAGAAACCATCATCAGAGTCAAATACAGGAGACCAGTACACAATATATCGCATGCCGTTCTCCAGAAAAAGAACCACTGACATGTATACATACACCAAAAATAGACACCACCAATACTTAAAATCCTAAGTATCCACACCAAAAATGGATCGATCTAGAACGGGTATGGAATACTTATTTGTAGGGCAACACCTTATAAACCCCAAAACAAACAGACAAATGAAAAACTGATAGCAAGTCGTCGATTTCAGCAACAAAAATATATGTTACAACAATGAAACGGCTATTACTCTGACACAATTTACAGAAATGGAACGTTCCACCACCTACCCATTTTCCGGAAGTAGAGGAAGTTTGTTACGAGGCGCCATATCTCATACTGCTGAACTATGAGCTTCGGATTCAGATACAAATTGTGAGGCGATATGATCTGAAATCACAAAACGATAACATTGTTACAAATCCAAAACAAAGTACCACAGCAACGTTTCTTGAAAGAAACTGAAATCTGAAACTCGATGGCCAGCAGGTCAAAAGATAGAGACCCTAACAAGAAATTGTAGCACTAGCATGTGGACAACCTAATCAAATTGGAACCCCTAACCTAGATCTAGTTCAAGAACGCCATTAGAATCCAGCAGGAAAATAGAAGGAAGAGAAAAAATTCGCACTTCGAGAGAGCATCCGACGGTAGTAACGACCGCGGCCGTGAGGTACGACCGCGTGATGATGGGCATCTGCTTGTACCACTCCTCCACCGCTTGCGCCATTTTGGAGACCGCGGATTCTCCGCCACCACCTAACCCCACAAATCCGAGGCGACGAAGCCCAAGCTCTAACCCTAACTGTCGCGGATGGCGAAGACGAAACCCAGGGAAGAAATCGATCGACGGAGCTCTGGAGCTCGGCGACGATTCTTGATTCGTTCCGACTCCCTAATTATCCCTCATCGCATCGATGCGAGCCACGAGCATTTTGTGGGACGGAGCTCCACGTCGTGGAGGCCGTGTGACGTGTTAAACGCCAATGGTTAATTGACAGGTATGAATCCTTTGTTGGGTCAGCGTTAGATGTTTTTCTCCCTTCACACCACCAAACGAATATTTTCGGCGTGATTAAATTAAATTTAAATTTAAAAAATATTAAATACTCATTAATTCATTAACTGATTATAATTTGATGTAAGTGAAGATTTTATAGAAACTTCTATATCGATATAAAGTTTAATAATAATAATAATAATAATAATACGATTGAATCAAGTGAGCTCGATACAAATGAGTTGAATCTGTCCTATTTCATTTGGTATATAATTCATCCATAAATATTATATATGGTTCAACAGGTGATGTTTTTCTAAATTTTAAATTTACAGAGGCTTAACTCCTGGCTTGATCAATCCTATTTAAGGATACTTGCTAATTCGATTGACCAATCGCATATATGAACTATTTTGAGATTTCATGAAAATTGAGTTGTGAATTTTCACCAATCACTTACAACTATTTTGAAGTCTTTTGGAAATTATGTTGGAAACTTAGGAATCACGATTTGATCGATGAAATAATTGATTTTTTAATTTAATTGAGATTAAATTATTGACTGTTTAACGTCAAATTAATAATAAGACACTAAATGGAAAAGTTACATCACCATTTAATAGCAATACTGACTCTGTAATTACTTCATGGTCACATTCCTCCATCCCCCCTCCACGTCACTTTACCAATAGTGCCAACATGCAGTACCCAAATCAGCCAAGACAAAGCATCTTTATACTGGACAATTGTCTGCAAGTATTGAGGGTAGACATATAGAACCTGCCATGCTAAAATACTAATCCCTTCCAAAGCGCCTAACAGAAAAGCCATTTTTTAATCTTAATTTGCATGCGTTTCTTAACAAGTCTTCATAGTTGTCCGTTTGAGATTCATCGTCCCAAAGGCCACTTAATTATAGGGTTACGCACCCGACAAACCCAATAGTTTACGCTGCTCCAGTAACTGAACGAAATGGACTGCCTGGGAACTTTTTAGTGACCTCCCACACCCTCCTCGATACCGAGAGGCGGGTCCCGCCGTGAGCGTGTAGAAGGGCAATTTCGCCAGCGTACCACATGCTTCCACCAGTGCCCGGACAGCCACATCAATCCTCGTTCCAGGAGATGTCAAAACCCTCGAGACTGCAATCACCTACGACCAACTACACGTTATCCATTAACATACACCAGCAGCCGAAAGAGGACGTGAGCTCTTTCCTCCCACTCGCTAAGGATATCTGATGATATTTCCCTCTTTTCTCGGCGCTAAAAACCACAAAATACACGCAATCCCCCAAACACCCGTAAACAAATCCCTAATCTTACAACTAAACCACCGGTCCACAGGAAGTTGAGAAATTAAAAAAAAAGTAAAACAAATAGAACTGTTACTTCCTCGTCGCCCTCTTCGCCGCCGCCTTCCTCGTCGTCGGTGCCGCCGCCCTCCTCGTCTTTAACGCTGCCGCCGCCGCCGCCTTCTTCTTCGCCGCAGCCGCTGACGCCTTTTTAACGGGCGAACCCTTGGCGGAGGTCTTCGCTACCTTAGCTGGCCGCGTGGGCGCCTTGGGCTTCGGCCTGGTTGCAGCGGCCTTGGGCTTCACAGCCGCCGGCTTCGGCTTCGCGGGCGCCGGAGCTTTTCGTTTCGCCCTGGTCTTCGCCGCCGCTGCGGCGGGTTTAGCCTTCGGCTTGGCGGGAGCGGCAGCCTTGGCCTTCGGCTTCGGTTTGGGCTTCGGCTTTGCGGCAGCTGCGGGCTTTGCCTTGGGCTTCGTTTTGGCAGAGGTGGGCGGTTTCTTGGCGGGTGGCTTTGGCTTGGCCTTCGGCTTTAGCTTGGCCGGGGCAGCGGTGGAGGAGGATGACGACGACGCCGGGGCCGCGGCCGCAAGCTTGTAAGAGTTCTTCAATTTCTTGAGCTTCCCGGAGTCGGTGAGCCTCTTCAGGTGGCCGAGGAGAATCTTCCGAAAGTTTCCGGGGAGGCGACCCTTGTGCTCGTCCTCGATGAACTTCTGGATCGCGTACTGGCTCGACCCAGTGCGCTCCTTCAGCGTCACGATCGCCTCCGTGATCATCTGGATTCCAAACCAAACACAACCCAAAGACCAGATATTGAGACCCAGTTCAAACGAGAATCACCGGCAGAGATCAGAAAAGGGTTCCATCGAAGTCTTACATCAGCGTAGGGCGGGTGGGCGGGTGGTTTTCGAGGGGCAGCGGGCTTCTTCTTGGCCTTGGTCTCCCTGGGGGCCTTGGCCTTCCTCTTCTTGGCCTGCTTGGCACCTTCCGCGGCGGCGTCCGCGTCATCCTCCATCGGAGGGTCGGAGGGGGCGGAATCGGCCACGGGCTCCTCGGCCGCAGCAGCAGTGGCCTCATCCTGCGCCATTACAAGGATTATATTGCGGGACCTCGAGGGCTGAGAGAAGAGAGATTGGAGGTGGGGGGATAGCAATTGAGGAGGGGCGACGACGGGAAGCGAATGTAGCGGCGACGCATTTAAATACAAGGCGGAAGTGAGGAGGCTGAAAGCTGATTGGACCACGGCTACAAGCCTCGGATCGATACTCCGCATGGCTTCCAACGTGGGCCTTCGGATGTGCCGTTATCGACGGTTGGGAAAAGGGGTTAAGCCACAAAAGCCAGCATAAGCCATTGGGATGGAAACGGGGGTGTTTAGGGTGGCACCGGGGTGTGCTTCTTCTCTCACTTCGGATGGCAATATCTTTGGATCTGTTCCATGGATTTCCACCATTACTCGACCTGCATGCGGCTCTCGATCATAGCTTTCGAACGAGCATTGTCTCAATTGAATTGGGTTTGTGGTTAGCGAGAAATTTAATGTTGAGTATGCAAAGGTCGAATAGAGACTTCCACATGAGTTTGAAAGAATTAAAGAGATGAGGCCACAAGCTGAGACGAATTCCACCAAAGCTTATGACTTAAGGCGGATGTAGTTTAGAAGACTGGTCGATAGAATTTGGAATCACGTAAATTGACCAAGGATTGAATGGGTTAATGCCCGTTCAAACTTCATCTAACTCACACAACTCTTTTACCTATTTTGACTGTTATAAAACTATGAATTAGATTGAGTTTGACATGTATAAATAATTAATAACATAGTTGTGATTGAATAGTGATCATCAATGATGCAAGATGGTGGCATTGGCTTCATCTAATGAAAGATGTACGCTGGATTTTTTTTGAAAACAAATATATGTGTGTGTTCATTGAGTAAACACAAACTAAATGATATTAAATAATCTAACTCATCAAGTTATATTTGTTGGTTCAACACTGCAAAATTCATGTAATACCATAATATAATGATAATGTCAAACTATTCAGAATGTCACTGAAGATGGCAGCACTAATTTCTTAACATCCAATCCCTGATCCCAAGAGTTCAGTAATGTGTTGGGAAGCTATATATAGTTGCTCTACTGTGGTAGAAGAAAGTTCATCAAAATAAGTGATTTTGTTTATCTCGTAGTCATATTGTTATTCGGGGTATTAGAAATAAATATTTAGTTCATCTAACGAAAGACATTGAGTTAACATGAAAAGTGAATCTCTTATAAGATCCTTTGACGTTATCTTACAACTTAGACTTATGACATTCTCTTCACATTAATGGAAACTTTTTTTAAAAAAAAATATTATAAGAGCCTCATAAAATAGATCATAATCCTGAAGATAAATCCTATTTTCAAGTAGTAAAACTTTTAGAAGATGTAGTTTGATTAGTTAGTTAGTGATAGGGCACAATTTGGTAGCACGCTCCCAAGGAGCTGACTACAGCCACATCAGCGCTAACGAAGAGCTTCAAAGTTGACATGGCGGGCCACGTCAACACAATGCCCTGAACTCGGACGACATGTATATCCTCTGTACAAAGTCATGCAAGGGGTGTTGCTCGGGTATGACGCCACCTCGCAAAGATCGAGACGGCGCCCCACAAAGATCAGGACGGTGATGTTCGATTAGGACAGTGTTGTTCGAGTACGATGCCACCCTGCAAAGATCGAGATGACGCCACTCAGGTACGACACTGCCCTAATGAGATTAAGATGACGCTGCTCGACGCTGATTATCGCAGGACGATCGGTATTAGCATGAAGGGTATGAGTTCGTCGCTTAAGGGGTCGACGACCATTAAGAGGCTAGATACGGTTGACCCTCATGTGTAGGCATAAAAACCCATCGCCTAGCCAACACAGAGGAGGTTTTTTTCGACCTAAGGACTCAACTCTCTCTCATTCAACTAAAAAACTAACTTGAGCTTCAGAGAGGTCAAGTCGAAAAATCCCCCTCCTGACCTCGGTATATGTGCAGGAGTCCAATGACGGAGGAGCAGGCCGCTTGCCAAGAGAGAAGATCGCCCTCGGGGATGAGGCTACAGCTCGACCCGACCCAACGCTTGAGCGTCAACGTGGGAGATCCTGCGCATCGAGGATTCGAAGACAAAAGGCTGCACCAGACCCGGGAAGGCCATCGCCCGCCCCTGAAGTTTGAGTGTCAGACTGGGCAACCTTGCACATTTGGAGTCGAACCTAGCCGTGCTGACTCCCCGGTCAAGGCATAAAGAGACACTAACATTTTGACACTAGAAGGAAGGCCCAATGTCCCAAGATCATCCCTAGCCCGGCGACCTGGGGGAGCGCCTAGGCAACAAGCACCGCTCGACCCACTCAGCTCTTGGGTTTGGAGAACAACTTCTGCCTCTCCCGGGGCAAGAGGTGAACGACTTTGCAGCAACCCCGGGCCACTATTGGCGGTTGTTCACTGATCCCGAGTTATAGCCTCCCGGGATCGTCACTGCTCAACCTCCCATCTCCACTGAGGTGTTCCTTAGCTTGACGCACCAAGTCCAAGCTTTGTTGAGGATGATGTAAACCATTGTTCCCCTTGTTCATCACCTTGCCCAACTCTTGATGCTCCCACAAATGTCATAATAGGAGTCATCGCCGCCTGCTCCTATGTAGCCTCCACCCTCTCCTATGCTGCCCCTGGCCCCTCGATGGCCCCTAACGGACAGAGAATCTGAGGCTGATGCCCGCGCATAGCACACCAAACCTCTGACGCCCCTATTCCAACAACCTCAAACCTAACACGTTGTCGTCTAATTCAGCAAAGAACCTTCAGGCTCAGTTACACTCGGTGCCTATACGAGGTTCAATGAGAGTTTCACAAGTCCAAGGAGGAGCTCGACGAGGCCCCTTCAGGAGAATCACCCTTCATACTAGAGATTTAGGATAAACCTATCCCTCCTAGCTTTCGTCTCCCCGTGCTCGAAGCCTATGATGGCGGCTCTGACCCAATGGAGCATGTCATTGCCTTCGGGCCCAGATGGCCCTATACGACACCTCGGATGCCCTCATGTGTAGGGCATTCCACACCACACTTCAAGACCTGGCTCGGATGTGGTACAATCGACTTAGACCGACCTCCATCACCTCCTTCGACCAGTTGGCCAAGGAGTTTATTCTCAACTTCTTAGCCAGTGTGCGATCGAAGCCATCTGTGGCCTTGCTCCTCGGTCCCAGCCAGAAGGATGACGAGCCACTTTCTCATTTCGTGACTCATTTTGCTACTGAAATCTAGGGGCTACTTGATGCTCACCCCTTTTTGATAATGCAAGAATTATTAATGGGACTTCAGCCTTCCATATTCTTCTAGTCGTTGGTCGAACGGTCGTCAATGGCTATCCCTGAGATGCTTCAATGTGTGAACCAGTATGTAGCTGCTGAGGCACTAATGGTGGGAAAGTGCCAGGAACACAAAAGGCCCCAGGCGGAACCACTCCGAGGGCAAGCCTCAACCCCACCAAGGAGAAGGATCGATCAACCCAACACGCTGCTCCCGAAGCCCCCTCTCCCGCCTCTAAATTCCTCCATGTT